CCATGGATTTGGCCATCACAGAGACAGAAACAGATTAAGTTCCTCTGATTTTAAGGACGTCATTGAAGATCTTATAGGTTTATTAACAATTTTTACAGCCTGTTTGCGCCTGAGAATTGAAAAGGTTACATTTTTGTTATGGTTTTTCTTACAAATTACTCTGAAAAATATCTGCACATTGAGTTGTGTCTCTACCAGCTTTGTAGTTTTGAAAAAAGACGTCTTTGGGCCTATTAGGTTTTGGTAAATAAGCCAAACTCAGTCAATCTGATTAGTCCTAAACAGAAGACCTGTGAACAGCAATTTTAAAGTCATGTCACAACTGGATTATGTCTAAATTTTAGGCCATTCAAATGCATATATAAGCTTCAATCTAAGCCATGCTGTTATACATCTGTTGTATGTTTACTATTTTTTTCCTGGAAGATGAATCTGTCCCAGCCTCAAGTATTTTGCATGATCTAGCTGCAGGTTTTCTTCTAGAACTGCCCCATGTTTAGCTCCATCCATCATTCCATCAGCTCTGACTAGCTCTGTTAGCTCTGCTGAAGAAAAACAGTCCAACATCGTGATACTGCAACCACAATGACTCATTTTGGAGATTGTCTGTACAAGGAGAATATTCTATAAGCTGTAGATTTTTGTATATAGGACAATAAGCTCCGTTTGGTTTAATTTGACCAGAGTGCCCATAGTGTTCTAGATTAGAAAATGCCTGAAGCCTATACTGACATTAAGCCAAACAGAGTGACTGTTTCTCAAGTAGCTGAATTTTAAAGGTGATTGGTTGTCGTGGATTTCATCTATTTTTTTTTTCTCAGCAAAAGTGGGTTAACATACCGTGTGGAATTGTACAGTTTTCAAATCTTATTGACATTTTTATTTTTGCTTCATTTGTATAAAATGTGTCTTCACTTTACATTTTTACTTCTTTGTTTCAGTCATTACATAAAATCCCAGTAGAATGTGACGTTTCCGGTTGAAACGTCACAAAATGTGCAAAACGTTTAAGCGTAAGATCATTTTTCCAAGGTACTGTGAGTCAGTGGAGTTTTGGGAACAGGTTACAGAAAGAACAGCGCCCTCTTGAGTCACCTCATGAGACGGCCGCAGGATTTCGTGCCACACCGGGGCGTGCTGGCCCTTTAAGACGGATATAGACAACAGCTCCCCGGCTTACAGCGTCGATGTTGTCGCGCGTTACATCTCATCAGTAATTTCACACTTCACAGCTGCTGGACAGATCATTTACCTCCATCGTGATTTCAAGAGGTTAATGTTAATTAGTACAAAGTGTGCGTTGACGGTTTCGGTCACAGAAGGAGGAGAAATGCGACACCGAGCCCAGCCGGCAGGCTCTGTGGTGCGTACTTGATTCGGTAAGTCTTATTTGTGTCAGTCTGTGGATCATAAACCTGTTTACGCGTCTTCTGCCGCACAGAACCTACCAGAATACAACTATATTTGCTGTTCACACATTGTTTGTCATTTATTATTCTTATAGTACAGATGTAGAGCATAAAAATGAGGATTTCAGCGCACAAAGTTACCTTTGTTTATTACTAGTGGCCATCTTTGGACCGCACTTGGAGGCGACCTGATACTATCATCCACTGCGATTAGATGCAGGGCGCGTAGTAAGGTCACAATTCCAGTAATGTAGTCCTGTTTACCATGAAAAAAAGCACGCTGTCTTGAACATTAATTAAATTAATCTCAGGCTTTAAGAAATAAATATTAGAAGTTACAACTCTAATTTGAAGCCGGCCAAAGGCATAAACGAGCAAAGCAGCTGTGTAGACGAAGCTGAAACCAGCAGGGGGCCCACGAGAGCCTAAGTCTAACATGAGCATTACTTTTTCTTAAAGTAATGTCCTCTGTTGATAACTTTTAGCCTCTTGTCAGCCAATGTTAATATCCCAGCTCCAAAAGCCATAACAAAATTCATATAAAACATAACAAATATGTTTATAATACTGGTTTTCTTGGAGTTCTGACATGGTGACTCAGATGTTTTTCCTGTGGAGAAAACATAAAACAAATAAGACGTTGTAATCTTGAATCACACCTTTAATTAAACATCAAAGCATAATTTTAAGAAGCAGAGAGAAAACGTGTTGTGGTCATTAAGGAGAATAATGGGAGTTCCTAATTTTTGATTGGAAAAAAGTACTAATAAAAATGTTTTTTTTTTTTTTTTGTTGGTAGTGGACCTGCCGATCTACAATCAGAGCCAGTCAGGGAAAAATTGGTAAATTTCTGCTTTTAACACTTTCAATCAAGATGAATTTAGAGCTGTGGCGAGCTTTGGTAACCTCACAATCCATGTAATGCAACACAAAAACTTAGCTTGTCTCTGTTCAGGTGGAGTTTAACCTGTTTATCTAAAAAACACAAAGTGCTCTTATGCATCATCCAGATCCTATTAAGGTTTATCTCTGTAGATCATGTTACAGGCTCTTTAAAGTATCCAGTTCTGCAAACAGATGGTTGCATTAAGAAATGACTACTGCTGCAGTTTAGCTTTTAGAGATTTTGACTTATTTTTTGCCATATATTATGAAAGCATAAACATTCTTGGAGGATATTTTCTTTTTAAGTAAATAAAAAAAATTGCATCAACAGAGCCTTTTACCTGACTGTGATTTGAGATTTGCTGGGATGCTTTACTGTTGGATAATTAAATCATCCCCTAATGTGCAGAGGTAGATTCTGCAGTAGTGATTTTGGCACTGTCCAAGTCCTTCCTAGAAGGAAGGGAAGGGGGAAGGAGGACTGCTGCTCTTCAGCTTCCTACGTTTGTTGTTTCAGGACAATCCTGCACACCAGCTGGGCTGTGTGTGTGTTACCTGCACTGGAAGCAACAAACATAAATGAGCTGTCATGGAAGACAAGCGTAAGAAACGCAGCCCAAAGGTGTCCCTCCCTCAGCCTCCTCCGCCACCCATCAACCCCCGCAAGCTCTCTGTCCTTCCTGCCAGCAAAAGTGCCACCTTCTCCCTCGGCCTGCCGCAGCCTCCCTCCCCCAAGAACAGGAGCAAGTTTAAGAGATCCATAGGAGCGCCGGGACAGCCAAAAGAGGCGTTCACGCCTGTGGTAGCCCCGCCAAAGACAACACGGTTTGCACCTTATTACTTAACCAGTTACACCCAACTTTGGAATCTGAGAAAATTACATGGTTTTTTTTTTTTTCTTTTTTTTCCCATTAGACCACACAGGGAGAAACCCAAGGCTCCGCAGCCAGCAGGGCCCAGTAAAGTGGTCCAGTCTCCCCCCCTGCAGCACTCCTTCCTTACAGATGTCTCGGATGTGAGAGAGATGGAAGGAGGCCTCCTGAACCTCCTCAATGACTTCCACTCAGGCAAATTACAGGCGTTCGGTAAGATAACCTCCATGTGGGAGCCCATTAGGGGAATATTCTGTTACAGGCTTAAAAATAACAGCTTTGTCACCTGAATCTGGCTGTAATCAAGAAGAAGCTGTGCAGGCTACTTAAATAATCTGCCGTCATGGAAATACTTCTGACTTGTCTACAAATAAGAGGTCAAGCCGAGTCTCTGTCTGACTTCTAGGAAAAGTTTGCTCCTTTGAGCAGCTGGAACATGTGCGGGAGATGCAGGAGAAGCTGGCGCGGCTGCACTTCAGCCTCGACAGCCACGTGGAGGAGCTTTCCGAGGATCAGAGGAAGGGTGCTTCCGATCTCAACCTGGAGCACCTGCTGTGCAACGTAAGCATGAGTCAGATCAGCAGAGAGTTCACTTTCAAACCGAGACGTGTGGTTTAGAAAGCCGATTGAGCAAAGCTTGAATCGGATACACAAGGAGAACCGAGTTAGTCCAGTCAATTCTGATATTTTTCTCCCTTACAAATCAAACTCAGGAAAGATAATCCACGACTTTTGCTTAAATCTGAACCCAGTCTCACACCAGCCCTGTGGAGTCTATTTTAGTAGAACTCTAGTCTATTTATCTAGAAAGTTCGCTTCGTTTGGGGAGATGTGAATGTGCAATTGAACTCTGATCCAAACTAATAAAAAGCAGTCACTGCTCAGTCTAAAAACCTGGGTCTCTGTTCAATTAATGTGAACTCTGGTGCGGTTCAAATGGTTATGAGGATGCAAACAAATTGTTACAATTTTATTTGAACAACACAAAGTAAAGCATAATTGTGAAATGCATTGAAAAAGTTTTTTTTAGAAAACATCAGTGAGCAAATGGCACCCTGAAGACCAAAGAACAGCAGAGCGGTCAGGAGAAGTGTAAGGCAGGGTTCCTGTTTAGATTTGACCAAAACTGAGCTTTTTTTTTTTTTTTTACCCACATGCAAAACAGTTCTCTCCATGCAAATAACAATGGAAACAGCCCAAAGGTTTTCCTCCCTCAGCTTCATCCATCACCTGTAAACACACGAAAGCTCTCCATCCAGCCTGCCAGAAAAAGTGCCACCTTTTCCCTCTGTCTCCCGTATACAATTTTTGTATTTTATATTTGCCATTTCATTTACCTCCAACTTCATAATAAGGTATATTCTGTGCCTATTTATCATAAAATACCCACAAAAAACTTAAGTTTTATTATTTTTTACAACTATACATCAACTGGTTTGTTGCTTAAGTTGTATAAATGCATAAAATAAGTAGCATCTGAAACGGCTGCTTAGTGGTCAATACAGAACATAAATGTGTGGAGTAATTTGCATATTTTAATGGAGGTTTTGATGGAAGCCCTCACAATTTCAGAAGCTCTTACTTCTGAATTTGGTGGTGTAAGCACTCAAAGGAAGGCTCATTTTTCCAAAAGCAGCTGGGAACCTGATTATCTCTAATGTTCAGATACAATAATCAGACAGCTATGTCTCAACACTTTTTGGAATGGGGAAGAGATAGACTGACTTGTTTGTCTTCCTCATCACCAATGGCAGAGATATAAAACCAGTTTGTTTGTTTTTTCTTTTTTCGTTTTTATCCGATTCTAAAAAAAATCCAAAATGGTTTTACAACCTCCCTGTGAGCAGTCGGTTTCTGTTGTTGGGCTCTTCAGGCTGTTTTGACATGTAATAATACCACACTGCAATTAAGTTACTTTTTTCAAAATGGTTTTTTTTCCCTGTCCAAACTTTACTTTAACTGTAAAGAATTGAAATTAAGAATTTCAGTTGGTAAGAATTGCATTGAAATGATAATAATCCAATTACTAAATTAAGATATTAAGTTCAAAAATACTTTATCCCAAAGGGAAGTTAAATGTTGTCATAACTTATCCAAGTGTCAAGAGTTGTTTTGGATAGTGATGCAGTGGGTAGGAATAATCAGATTTGAAACGACTTTTGAGGCCTCTGACTTTGAGAAATATAATAATCCATTAGCTGAAGCTTCAACAGTAATCAGGTCATTTGGTTCTATTCAGAATTGCACTGGAGATGTACAAAATTGGTTTTCATTTTGGATATTGTCTTCCGTCAATATCCAACTCGGCATCAAATCTTCTCTTGATGCTGTGTGGTGACGTTGCAGGAAAAAGACTCGACATGCTACAGACTTTGAACAGCTACAGTACTGCAGCCTGAGTCAGTATGACCGAATTGCGAGGAAATCTTGGCCCAGTCGTGGTGAAATCCTCCCGATCTTTGGGCAGTGTCTCTTTTATAAGGCTCTGCTCAACACATATTCCCTAAAATAAACGAATCACCACATGTATATATTTCATGTCCATGTCTTCTTTTGGGTCCTGGTGCCAGATTGTCTGCTTTATATATATTTTTTTTTCACGCTTAATGTCTTTTGACCCTTGACCTGACTGCATTCCCAAATTCTCCAGAAAATTCTCCTGTGTGGTCAGACACTACCATATCCAAAATGTACCCTCTTGGAGATATTGTAAATTTTATTTTATTTTTTTCTGCTGAATATTTTTTTTTTAAGCTATACACAATACATTTTAGATGACAGCAGAAGGCTGTCAAGTGGCTTTTCCATTTTGTAGAAGAAATTTACTTCTACGCAGCTTATTGTATGACAAATTGCCTTGCCTTAGAGGAGCATGTTTTGGCTGGAGCTGATGGGCTGTTGAGTGGATTTGTGTAGATGAAGGAAGATGATCATATGCTTTTGTGAACGCTGATCAGGTAACAGGAGTTCAGTGGAAACATTGCCTTACAAAGCGCAGGCTGTTATGTAATCTGATCAGATTCAGAAAGGACGGCCCTGAACTACAATATAATCTATTTTTAGCGGTTTTGATTTTTCAATACTCATCTATTTACTGCTTTGTTTCCACAGCTGGAGGAGCTCAGCACCTCAATGTATCCTTTTCCTTACTGAAAGCTTGTATGTTAATGGCATCACCAGCGCTCCCTACATTGGAAAGTGTATTTTAATTGTGTTTCCACTTCAAAGTGACTCTGTGTGAATCCTTAATGCGTCTTTGCTCAGACAAAAGCTCCACTTGGCCGAGAATCAGGACCTGCCCAAGACATCTGGTCCCTGACAGAGCCAGGTGCCCAGAACGTTGACGACGCGCTGATCTTTTCTGAACATCACAAAAAGATAAAAATATTGAAAAGAGCAGGTTACCATGGCATTAAACCAGTTGCCTTAGAAACGGGAGCAGGAAGGTCCAAAGGAGAGGGAGGAGGCCATTTTTCCACTCAGTCAGTGGAGCTGAGAGGACATTCCAATGACTGGATGCAGCAGAGCATTAAATTAGAGCGCAACCAAAAAAAAAAAAAAAATCAAACGCCTCATTCATAGCACAGAAACATGACCGCAAACTAGTCTGAACTGGAATGTTGAAAAAAAAAATAAAATAAAGAAAGAATGCATTTAGGTTTTGAACATTTTCTTGGCAAAAGTGGGTTTGACTAAAAGGGAAAAAAAACAACAAAAAAACTCAATTTTCTGTGACAAAAGAAGCACATTCCATGAGCTGTGAATTTACACCGGCACTTGTATGCCATTCAGTGCATGTTGCTTCGTTTCAGACGGCAAGTGCATCTGTACCAGTGTTTAACTGGAAAACATATTTGACCCTTTAAACAGCAGCATGGTGTTTGCAGCAGAGGTTTTAAGGTAGCTTTGCTGTCGGTATCAATGTCTCCCACAGTTTTATATCTTTGCTGGAAAACTGATGCGATTTAAGCTAAACTTTGGAGATCTACTGCACACAATGTTGTTTTTTATATATATTGCTAAGGTAATGTTTCAAAATGTAAAATTTGCCATTTTCATTATGAGTCAGAAACTTCAGTTCTTGCTACAAAAACTATAAAAATCTTTGTTTCATACAAGAAAACCTCTGTGTAAAGTATGTACTCTCTGTACAGTGCTATTTCAAAGTGGCAGCTACTTTAATTGTGCAAAATGTATTGAACACTGCAGGTGCATGTCAGTTAATTATAGCATAATTGTTACAGTTTTAAAATCAACTGTAACAGTTGAATTGAAAAGGTGAAGCTATTTTTTTTTAGATCTATTACATTGTAATAATTTGAGGATTTCAAACAATTAAAACAATATTTTGAATCAATAAATGTTGGCCCACTGAAAAGTATGCTAATGTAGTCTATGCACTCAGAGCTCTTATGAGTTGCTTCACATTGCTTTCACCTGTGGCTCTAGTGTGTTTTCTTCATCATAAATTGGTTGAGTTTGTTGGCCAATCAAGCACAGTGATGCCAAACTTATTAAACAAGGTATCGGCACTGTTAACCGTGTTGGTCAGTGCCAACTTCTGAAAAATGAAACCATGTCTGTAAAGCTTGTTGAGTTGTTTCTGTTGCTTGTGCAGTTTTTTTTTTCCTTCCGCTTAGCTATCCATTAGTATGGTTTCATGCAGCCAACTTTAGCAATGATATATATTTTTTTGTGGACAAAGAGGCATCCTTATTGTTCTTGTGAAGGATGATGATAACTATGGTGGACAGATGTCAAGTGAATGTTCTTCCCTATGATTATGTATCCCTTACCTTATATTTTAAATATTTCCTTATGTATACGAGTTTTCTTTTAATTGAATCTTTTTTTTTCAGGTGTCTCTTATATTTTCTTTAATTGAAAGCTTGGACATGTTTTAATTTATTGCAACCCCTCTCTTACAAACTTATTTCAGGGCTGAGGGTCTCCAGTTGTCTTTTCCAACATAACTTTTAAGTTACTCAGATTCTTCAATTAAGATGTTTGTCATTTTGCATTTAGGGATCATAATTAAAATGTACAAGGTGAAAATGTATACTGTAAAAAAACAAACAAAAAAAAAAACTATGGAACTCTCCAGCAACATCATCCAGAATAAAGATGATTTAACTTTAAAATTTGTGCGTTTCCTGGTTATATTTAAGTTCATCATACCTGACTAACTGGAATTCAAAATGGCACTTATTTCTGAACTGAAACCAGAATGTTTTTTGACCTTTTTCTAAATATTATGTAATCCCTGAAAGAAAAAGTGAAGTTTAGTATTAGGGAAATAAACCGTTTATTCATATATCTCTTTTCATTAGTTCACAAATCAGTTAAATATAAATCACCATTTGAGTTAAAAGGCTACTTGAAGACTGGCACGATACAGAGACGGAAACAGAGCCGACTTCTTGCTGTTTCTCAGGCAATCACAGGTGTAAAAACAACTTTTTCCAACCTTTTAGGTTTCTGTGTACATCCATCCCCCCCACAGAGATTATACAAGGTTGATTCTGTTTAAAAGTCTTGGTCATGCAAACAAAGAAAACGGAGTACAAACTCAACACATCATTAATGATTTTCAGACCATTATACATTAGATAAATTATAACCATCAATTTACACTATACTTAAACATTAAGCTAATACTGTGCAAATACACAACTGAGCTGTACAAAAGTATTTCATACCATTTTTTTAATCTCGTCACAAATCTTCAAATCTGCATGACATTTCAAAAAAATATCACATCACCTTTGATAAAACATCAAAAATATACACCTTTGGGCTCCCTGTCTTCTTTGTGCATTTCGGTTTTACATTCTGTAATAGTGTCTCCGATTTGTCAACAGTGCGTAATGGAGGAAACTTTGATGATCAGCTACTTTTCAAAGTGCAGAGAGAGCAGGTTGAGAAGGAATAAGACCTGATATCGGTATGTTAACATTCCTGTACCGACGTAAACATCACTGATAAAACAATTGGAACAACCTAAGATGTTAGTTTTTCTCATATTGATATAAAAGTGCAGGCACTGTAAGAAACGTAGAACATTTCTTTTGTTTCAAGTAAGATCAGTCTTAATGTTCTTTTTCAACATTTGGATCTTGCTTTTCCTTTATTTTAAGGTCCTCAGAAGCTCGTTTAAACCTTTCTGGACATTAGTAGGCTGGGAGGCAGCGCACTCGTTCAGGCTCGACCCCATTTGGGTGTGAAGGGCTTGGCACAGCTTGGCCGTTGCGGTCCGAACGCTGCCACTCCTGCCGTGGATGCTGCCGCTGTGGGTGGAGGTACCCAGAAGGTGCCACAGTAAGGGCAAGACTTTCTGCTCCACCACCTGAGGCTTGCGAGGATAAAGCTCCTTAACAAGACCTGGAATCAGAAAATATGTTGACAATGAGTGAGACGTTACATCGATTAGCCTGTTTATAATACTGGTGCAACTCTAAAACAGCATTCTTTTTTTTAAATTCTGATATGTTAAGTTCACAATCATTGGATAGACTGGTGACTCAACAGCCGTCCAGCAGACTGTGACCGACACCCTCCACATGAAGGCTGAGCCACTAAACTTCACTGCTAAATGACAAAAGAGTGGAAAGTTCAGAGGAAGGACAAATGGTAGAACAGCTACCATGAGAGGAAAGTCAAGTAAAGCCCATTCACGTTAGGGGAAAAAAGCCTCCATCGTCAAAAGTAACAGAAATATATACTTAAAATATATCATTCTGTCTGTAATTTGTTGAGAGGTACATGTAATATGCATTATGTCAAACATACCTGCAACCTTTTCGATGAGATCCACCTTAGCTTTGCCACTTAAAAACTGGGCCTTGGTGCAGAAAGGTTGAAGAAGAAGAGTATTATCTGTGCAAGTAAAAGAAAAAACACTATAACAGAGTGCCACTTAATCAGAATGTACGCTGCAAATGTTTAAAAGAATTACCAAGATTCAAAATAAGTGCATTCAGAGCTCCGATAGCAGCAGAATAGATGGCGTGATTCTTGGAGTTGAGGTGATTGTCCACAATAGCTGGCACCAGGATGTTAACCACTTGGGACAAGCTGTCCTTCAGCAAATGGGTTATTTTCTGCAGAGACTCCAGGGCGTAAAGGTTAACCTTGCTGTTGGACTCCTGCAGTCTGGCTTTAAAGGCATCAAACACCTAAAATACAACAAAGCAAAAGGCAACAGTGAAACAGACTTACTAAACATTCACAATGGCTTTAATTGCAATAATCATTTTTACGGAGTGAAGAAATCATTTATTGCACCAACCGGAAATATACTATTGACGACCATGTTGGGGTTGTGTTCGCAGTCAGCCACTAGCTGATCAATGCCTTTGATCCGCTCTCTGAAGTCCTTTGAACCCAGCAAACCTGAGATCTGCTTTATGTATTCGTTTTTGTCGGCGATACTCTGTGTTTGATGTTTACAGCCGTAATGGCTGTTCGACTCCCTGCAGTTAGAAAATACAAAACTTAATTAAACACTGTTGGTAGTAAAATTTGTTCCGATGCATCTTCTGATGTTTGATATCCAGTACCTAGTAAAACTATTCACACCACTCGGATTACGCACGTAGCAACACAGACAAATGAAAGCGATAAGTCATAAGTTAGCACAGTTGTCAATAGCCACAAAGAAGACAAAGCAAACCAATGTGCTCTATACATACGAGACCAAAAGAGCAACTTTTGCTAAGCCTTGCATTCTCACCTGTTGGTCTGATTGAGTTGCTCTCCATTGAGAGATGAAGCCCTGACTGTCCCGCTGCCTGGGAGCGAACGTCTTCCTCTGGCTGACTGAGAGTCTTGGGGCATCTCACCGAGACCCTAAAGACACAGCAATCACAAGATTAGATGACATCTACCAAAGATTAGAATGTCAGTAAGTAAATAAAATGCATACCTTCGTCCTGAGAGTCAAGACGGTGTCTCTGACAGTTTGCAGGTCTTTGGTGGGAATATATTTTTCCAGGTTCTTGTCAAAGCCAGGGTGAGATGACAGAAATAGCAGCATTCGACGACCAAAGTACCTGTGGGCAAAAAAACACAATAATCATACCATTTAAGATCTTGGGTGTGACAAACGCCGAAGTTACACTTGCGCATGTTAATTTAAAATGTGACACGACGAAACATTACAACTTTGTACATACCTGGCCTCCTGGGAGGAGTCTTGTGCAAGTTTGGTGATGGCAGGTAAAATTCTTTCAGTAAGATCTTTACCTCCAGACAGGAGGCGGGCAGCTCCAACCTTCTCTAACAGATTAGCCAGATGCTGAGCAGTGCACTTCCTCACCACTGGGTTAAGGTGGCTGTCAGAAAGAGAGAAAAACGAAATCAGCAATCGAAGGTGTATAGATTTTATGTGAAATGAATTTTTATCCTGTTTTCATTCCAACCTTATTCCTCCAGTAAGCAAAGCACCAATGCCGCGGGTCGGAGTGCAGTGCTGCACCATGCAGTCCAGCGCTCCGTCGACGTCCTGCCTGATGAAAGTGTTACTCTCCCCGGCCTTCTGCAGCAGCGCTTTAACTGTCCCCTC